CAAATGGCAGGCCATGTGTAATAACTATCATTTATGGGTATAACACATGTGAACAAAGAAAGAATCTGTGGAAAACACTAAAAGAATTGGCTCCAAGAATAAATATGTCATGGCTGATTGTTGGAGACTTTAATGCAGTCCTATACCCACATGATAAACTATTTGGAAATCCAGTTCAATATGCAGAGATCAAAGACTTCACTGAATGTATACATGACTTGCTACTAAATAAAGTTAAATGTACAGGTGATTACTACACATGGACAAACAAGCAATAAAGCTATGATACAATATGTAGCAGACTAGATAGGGCTTTTGGCAATCATGACTAGATGATGCAATAGGGTCACATAGTGATGGAATATGATGTTCCTTTAGTTTCAGATCATGTCCCAATGCTTTTTTCTCTGGAAACAAACCAAAGTAATGTCAAAGTCCCTTTTAGATTTTTTAATTCCTGGGCCGAGCATAACAACTTTCTGGTCATAGTTGAAAAAGTTTGGTAGTAGAGATTCACTACTTGGAAGATGAAGAATATATGGATGAAACTGAAAGCCCTTAAACCATACTCAAGCAACTAAATAATGAGGAGTTTAAATCCATCACAGAGAGTAGACAAAGCAAGAAGTGACTTAGTGGCAATCCAAAAACAGCTGAATTGTCAATTGTCTGATAACCTTATGGAACAGGAAAGAGCTACTTTGCACAATCTAGAAAAATGATCTTTGATTGAAGAAAGTATCATGAAGCATAAATCAAGGGACAAATAGATACAGTCGGGGGATTGAAACACTAAATATTTTTCTGTTGTGGTCAAGGAAAGAAGCCAGAAAAAGCACATCAAGGAGATCACATCCTTAGATAGAGTGAAACTTACTAAACTAAAAGATATTCAGGAGGAGATTGTGAAGTTCTACAAATCATTTATGGGATTCTCAGCTCAAAAACTGCCAACTATCAATAAACTCAACATGAAGAGAGGACCAACTCTAACTCAACAACAGAAATATGAGCTAATTGCAGCAGTCACTGATGAAGAAATACAGAGAGGACTTGATTCCATAGGTGAGGATAAGGCTCCAGGAATTGATGGGTATAATGCCACTTTTTTCAAAAAATCATGGGCCATCATTAAAGAAGAAGTGATAGGAGCAGTACATGAATTCTCCAACACTAGGAAAATGTACAGAGCCATCAATTGTACAGTCATAACTCTGGTGCCAAAGAATGATAAGCCAACAATAGTTAAAGAATACAGACCAATTGCCTGTTGCACAGTCTTATATAAATTGATCTCTAAGGTCATAGCAGCAAAAATACAGAAGGTCATTATATCTTTATTAGTGAAGCACAAGCAGGCTTTATACCTGGGAGAAAGATTGGAGATAATATCATCTTATCACATGAACTGGTGAAAACTTAGACAAGAAAGCATGTGTCTCCAAGATGCATGATAAAGATAGATTTGCAAAAATCCTATGATTCAGTGGAGTGAATATATTTGGAGCAAATAATGGTGGAACTAGATTTTCCTACACAATTCATCACATGGATCCTAGAGTGTATGTAAACAGTCAATTATACTATATTGATTAATGGTGAACCATCAGAACCTTTCAATGCAGCTAAAGGGCTCAGATAAGGAGATCTCATGTCTCATTTCCTATTTGCCATTGCAATGGAGTACTTGAGTAGGAGCCTAAAAGGAATGACAAATGTGACAGGCTTTCATTATCATCCAAGATATTCAAAACTAGCAATCACACACTTGTGTTTTGCTGATGATCTGTTACTCTTTACCAGAGGTGACATCTGTTCAGTGGTTGCTCTTCACCAGTGCTTTAATCAATTTTCAGAAGCTTCAGGTCTAAAAGTATACTTAGGGAAAAACTCAATATATTTTAGTGGAGTGAGTAGAGAAGACAAAGAAAGAATTTAGCTTGAACTGGATTTTTCTAAAGGTGATCTACCTTTTAAATACCTTGGGGTTCTTCTGTCGACCAAAAAACGTTTCCTAATACAATGGCAACCACTTATAGAGAAGATAGTAGCACGGATATCATCATGGACTGCAAAGAAATTGTCTTATACAGGAAGAATTTAACTTGTACAAACTGTTTTATTTGGGGTACAAGCCTACTGGGCTCAACTGTTTGTACTACCTGCTAAAATCCTAAAAACTATTGATGCCTACTGCAGAAGCTACATTTGGTCAGGATGCAATACCATCACAAATAAAGCCTTGGTTTCCTGGGATAAAGTCTGTGCTCAAAAAAGTATTGGTGGACTGGGCTTGATAAACTTATATACATGGAATAAAACAACTATAGCAAAAAATTATTGGGATCTAGAACACAAGCAGGATAAGCTGTGGATCAAATGGATACATGCATATTATATCAAAGGCCAAGCAATAACTTCTATGATTGTACCTCAACAGGCAAGCTGGATGGTTCGGAAGATTATGGAAGCTAGATCAATACTGGAGGATATCCCATGCAATTTCAGGAATGGAAAGAGTGTCACAAGGCAGATATACATACAACTGATTGGTGAGGAAACTAGAGTGCCATGAAAATGCATGATTTTTTGGCAATGTTGCTCGACCAAAAGCAAGATTTACACTATGGTTGCAACTACATGGCAGGCTGCTTACTGCTAACAGACTAACCAAATGAAAAATCGAGATTAATACCTAATGTGTAATGTGTCAAAGCTCAGAAGAAACAAATGAACACCTCTTTATGGAATGTGAATATGCTAAAGAAGTATGGCACAGAGTGAATCAATGGGTACAAGGAAGACCAATGAATACAAGGGGTGGAAACAATATCAGCAGGTGATTATTAGTAGATCAAAGGGGAGAACTCAAGCTGCACAAAATTTCAAGATGATATACACGGAATTTGTTCACAGCATTTGGATAGAAAGAAACGTGAGAATTTTTGAAAAAATAAATAGAATAGCGAGTCATTAGCAAGAGATATTGCTTGTATTTGTAGTGTGAGGGATTCAACAAAAATTAGAAAAATAGTTCATACATTTAGATTCTAGAAAAGTCGTAGTAGTGGAACAATTACTTGGTTAGCTAGTTGTGTTAGTTAGATACGATTTTGTAAAGTTTTTTGGTGATGAATAAAATATTTAGTTACAAAAAAAAAAACCTTTTTGTAGCCATTGTAATGAAGTTCTTTTTGAAAAGTTCAAGCAACTAATGAAAGGGACTTAATTAGCACATTTCTGAGATAATGAGGAATTGAAACACAATTTGAAACACAGATTGTGAGAAATTGAAACACAATTTGATCTTCTTCTGAGAACTTGTAAACTACAATAGAGTAGAGAGTTAGAGTAGAGTCAAAATAAAATGGTTTAAGATAAATACAAAAATGGGTCAAACCCACTTTTTATCCGGCCCATTTTTTACCCAACCCACATTTTACCTGTATAAAAATAGATGGGTTGGGTTGCAACCCATTTTTGTTCTATCCATTTTTAACCTGCCCAAATCCAACCCAACCTGCCCATTTGCCACCACTAGATCTAATATAAACAAAGTAAGTTTCTGTTTCCACTCTTTTACAAATATTAATTAATTTTGGATGTTGTTTATTGTCTAAATTAAGCATAATTAATTAGCCACGGCGTTTAGTATTCGTTGATATTCGTGCCAAATATTTATTTATCTTTTACTGATAAAATCAGAAATTAATTTTTTAAATTACTTAATTTTGACTCATAAAACTAATTTGAGCTGCATACAACAACAACAACAACAACAACGTACTCAGTATATTACCACAATAGGGATGATAGTATGTACGCAATCAAATAATTTGTGAAAGTAGAGAGGGTGTTTCTAGATTTGAGCTACATAGTGGATTGATATTTATTGTAATTCTATATGATATTCAATAAAAGGAAAACAAAATGTTGGGCTTCGTCATTTTAAGCCTGATATGTTGATAGGTGAAATCAGAGAGAATTGACACCAACAAGAATTCAATCAAACCCTAAGACGAAACTGTCTAGAGAGAGATATTTTGGGAGAAATGTAAAATATTATTTTTAAAATAAATTGGTTAACTAATACACTATAAGATGTTTAATATGCACACAATACAATCGGGCTGGTTCATTTGATGGGCCAGAATAAGAATATGGGTTGGCCCAGTCTAACTACTAGATACTACTAACTTCATCTCCAACACCCTCCGCAAGCTGGAAGGGTTGACCATTCCAATCTTGGGAAGAAAAACCTGTTGCTGCACACAAAGCATAGATTTAGTGAATATATCAGCAAGTTGAGCAGAAGTAGAAAAAGAGTGCAATGATACCTAACCAGCAGACAAGGCATCCCTTACAAATGTCAGTCCACCTCGATATGTTTGGTCCGCTTGTGAAAGACATGATTCTTGGCTATATGGACTGCAACTTGATTATCACAGTACATCAGGGTTGAGATTAGGGGATCGATTTGGATTGGTTCAATTTTGTAAGATTTTTTGGATTTTTTATTACTTAAATATTATTTTAGTCTTACTTTGTTAAATTTTTTATGAGTAAATATATGTTAAGTAAAAATTTTAAAATTGACAAACACATTATCGATTAAAATATTCTTATGGGAGAATTTTCTTTGTAACACATGATAGTTATTTTCTTAGTCACCTGACAATAATTTTTTGTTGATGTACACTTTCAAGGTTAACCGAATTTTGTAATTAAACATAAAATTCAATATGATATCTAAATAATAGCACTTCATATTCTATTAAATATTATATCCCCTAAGAGAATCCCTAATATTTTTAGACATTTTTTTTAAAAAACTCTATATAAAATTTTAAAAGTATATATAAAAATTAAATATTTATATGTCGGTTTGGTTCCGGGTTTTTACTCAATACAAAACCAAATCAAACCAAACCTAGTCGGATTTTTAATCGGTTTGGTTTGATTTTGCGATTGGTGCGGTATTTCGGTCGGTTTGTACACCCCTAGCTGAGATTATCCACACCCAACTCAGCCAGTAATCGAACCACCCAGGTAACTTCAGCTACCAACAAGCGAAGAGGCATATACTCTGCTTCAACAGATGACAAAGCAAGAGTAGGTTGCTTTTTGGACTTCCAAGACACTAATCAGCCTCCAAGAAACAATACAAAACCAGAAATAGACTTCCTACCGTCGACACAACTTGCCCAGTCAGAATTACAATAGCCTTGCAAAAAAAAAATCAGGACTGCTAGAAAGCATAATGCCCAAATCAGAAGGATGACGAGCGCAAAACTGGTGTATAAAATTTAGGCTCGCTAGTCAAAAATAGTATAGTATTAAAATCGTCTCTACGGAGATTGGTTTAAATAATATTTTAATAAATCTTCAGCTTAACACTATCCAAGAAAATAAACCTTTAATTTATGTTATTATCAACTAATAATAAAAACTAAGATTATCGATTGTGAGAAAATAGTGGAAATTTAATGACTAAGTAGCAACTATTGAATATCAAGGTGAGAAGTAAGGGATGTGACAAGATATGTGATCAACTATTATTCTGGATAACTCTGTGCTAAGTTCACCCTTAACTTCTATTGACTTTTTCGATTTCAACAGATCATTAGGCTATCTTAAGGATTCAAATTCTTATTCCGAATGAATGAGAGTTCTGTTAACCAACCTAATGACAGGTTCTATGAACATATGTAAAAATGCAGTGAATGAATGATCTTTCGAAGAACGTCTCTCGACTATTCTTCTAAATTGAGTCAATTGCTAACTCTCTAAGCTCTTTCGATTATCTATGAGAGGCGTAAAATCAACCCACACAAGATAATATAATGCGAATTGCAACAGCATTTCTCTTTGGATTAAAGTAAAACCACAATTGGCCTTGTTGTTCAATTAATAATTCATTCAACGAATTCGGACAATTAACATAGAGTAAAACCCAAAACATTAGTCAATCACAATATCCATCAATAACCCTAAGAGAGATTACTCCATAGTAGAGAAGTTATTCATCACAAGAGTATTAGAAGAACAAGAAGACGTTATAATTCTCAAAAACAAACAAACTTTCATATTAAATGAATTAGATAAAGTATTTTGAGTCTCCGTTGTTCCCTTCCCTTCTTCTCTCCAAAAGGTGATCCAAAATCTCCAAATACCTCGTTTTGAGACGAGGTAGGCTTCATATAGGTCAAAAAGAGTCGCCTCCAAATTTACCAAAATAGTCCTGGGTAAAGTTTCTAGAAACGGAGTCTAGAGCTATGATCACGCTCATGGCCGCACATGTTTGGTATAATATTGTGTCACTTGCGCGGTCGGATGTGCGTTGGGGGTCTTTTATGTACGGCCGCGCATCTGAGTTTCGCTCATGCTCAACTCTTTTTTTCTCCCATTAAGTGTCTATTCATCTGTTGATCTCCGAATACGATCCCATAGGCTTTTACTCAAACTTCAAAACTTCAAATAGCTCGAATTAGCCCCACAACATCTGCATAACTCGAAATCGCTCCTACAAGATATAAAACACACACTCAGTGCAAAACAATATTATTTAAAGCTCAAATACTAATAAAATACAGTGAATTAGAGTGCAATAAGTGGCCAGAATACGCAATTATAGCCTACGATCAAATTACCAGCCACATATCTAAGAATATGATAAGTAGCCTCCAAATGAGAAACTCTAGGGGCAGTCATATAGTGACTCAAATGCTGCACATTATAGGAAAGATCAAGTCTGGTATGTTGTAAATAATTGAGTTTAATACCCGCCAACTTCCTGTAGATAGATGGATCAGGTAGCAAGTCCCCAACCTCAGCTGACAGCTTGACATGAGAGTCTAAGGGGGCTACCACATGTGTGACAGCAGAACAGTGAATATCAGAAAGAAAATCCAAAGCAAATTTATGTTGACTGATCAAGTAGCCTTGAGGCATTTTGACAATTTCAAGCCCAAGGAAATAGTGAACTTCACCAAGGTCTTTGATCTTAAACTGATCATCTAAGAATTCTTTGAAAGTAGTCAACTCAGACATATCATCCCCGGCTAACAAGATATCATCCTCATAAACAACTACTATAGTGAGATGAGACCCCTTTAATTTTCTGAACAAGGAATAGTCATTCATGCTAGGTTGAAAACCTTTAGATTGAAGAGGAGAGGAAATCTTAGCATAACATTGCCTTTGAGACTTGCCTAAGGCCATAAAGGGATTTATTGAGTCTGCAAGCTAATGCAGAAACAAGAACAGGGGAAGAGGTGGAAATAGTCAATCCTTAAGGTATTTTCATGAATACCTCTTCATCTAAATCCCCTTGGAGGAACGCATTATTAACATAAGTTGGTACAAAACCCAATTCCTTTTAATAGCTACATATGGAAGACACTTAATAGTAGTCAACTTAACCACAAAGGAGAAAGTTTTAGTGAAATATACCCCCTTTAGCTGATTGTCACCCCAAATTACCAACCTAGTTTTATATCTTTCAATTGAATCATCAGACCTCTATTTTATTTTATAGACCCATTTGCAAGGTATGAGTTTCTTACCAAGAGGTAGAGGAAGGATATTTCAAGTACAGTTAGCCTCTAAAGCTTAAAACTCTTTCATCATAGCGTCCTTCCAAGCAGGATTGGAGGCAACCTAATGGTAAAATTGCAATTCTTGCAAGCAAAGATTAGAGGGTGAAGGAACCTTAGAACTAGCAACAAAGGAGCAAACATAGTCACTAAGGCAGGAGGGAGGATTGTGAGTTCTTAAAGACCTTCTCAAGATATGAGAGGTATTAGGAAAAGGAGAGGAAGGACTAAGGGATCTTCCAGAAGAATCAAGAGGAGAAAGAGAGGAAGAATAACTATGGTCAGAAGGACAGAGGGGACTGGAAGAAGGAGGAAGAACTGAAGAAGGGGGGAAAACTATCATGACCCAAATCCATAACAGGCCGTGATGGCGCCCAACACCATTGTTAGGCAAGCCAACACTGATCGAATTAGTGATTTTCCGTTTAAATAAATTACCACGTGGATAAAAATTCTTCATTTGTTAAAAGATTTAGAAATTTACCGTGGAACAAAAATCAAACGGAAGCAACGCGTACAAACCATAATCATATAACAATACCAAAATCAAAAGTCTACTAGTGTGTGTGCCAAGACCTAGTGTCACGAGTATATGGGCAATCTAATAGAATATACAAAAGAATACTAGCCTACTGTCTGAATTGAAATAGACAGAAGATAAAACATAAGAGAGACTCCAGCTACTATGGAACGGCTCAGAAGGCAGCTCACCGTGAAGTCTCGAGATGGGGATCAATCTACGCACCAGACTGGTAACCAGATGCACCTGCCTAAGATCCTGTACAATTAAGTACAGAAGTGTAGCGTGAATACATAAATAATATGTACCCAGTAAGTATCTAGTCTAACCTCAAAAAAATAGTGACGAGGGGTCGACTCCGACACTTACTAGGGCCAATAACATGATATTATGAAATTTCTACTTAAGCATGATATACAACAATAAGATTTAAAACTGAAATGACTGAACAAATGTTCACTATATATAAGACCTTAAATCACTTCCTTCCTTTAAAACATACGATCACACAACAATGAATTTATACCAATTATAAAAGGAACTTCTATTTCTATTATCACACATGAATACCACCGAGGACGTTCGACCCGATCCAACATTAAAGCAAACTGTGCACTACCGAGGGTCGAACGACGCAAACCATAGATGCATCTATTAAACCTACTGAGGTGAATAGCCCGCTCCCATGAGAATAAAAGAAAGAATTACCCTTCTCGTGGAATATACTTGTTGTCACACCTCCTTTTTCCACCCCCGCGAGGGGACAAGGGAGTTTTTTCCAATTAAAGGACAATCGGAACGGGATTGGTTTATTTATTTCAGAGTCGCCACTTGGGAGATTTAGGGTGTCCCAAGTCACCAATTTTAATCCCGAATCGAGGAAAATAATGACTCCATATTACAGTCTGCATACCAGAAATCTGGATAAGGAATTCTGTTAACCCGGGAGAAGGTGTTAGGCATTCCCGAGTTCCGTGGTTCTAGCACGGTCGTTCAACTGTTATATTTGGCTTGATTATCTGATTTTATACGAATATGAACTTATGTGCAAATTTTAACTTTTAACCGCTTTATTATTATTGTTTTTACAAGAATGTGAACATCGCTTAAAACACGTCTTTGGACTGCGTCACATGAAATGCACCCACAATCCGGAACGCATTTTATTTGATGTTTTGAGATTTGGATTTGGGTCGCATGAAATGCACACCCGAGCTTAAGAAAGTAAATTATTAAACACGCGCCTAAAAAGACTATCGCGTTATTATTTTGCGGAAGCCGTGAAATTCGCTAAACGACCCTCCTGAATTCTAAGTAATTCTAAACAAGTATTTACAGAGGGCCCCGCAATTTGTGTTTTCTATTCGGCGAGGCTCATCTCATTTATTATTTTTTTTAAAATNGTGGTGATGGAGGTGTTGTTTATGGTGTCGGGGGAGTGGGGCTGCGACCGGGGAAGACGATGGCAAACAGTGACGACGGTGAAAGGAGGTGGGTATTTGGGTGGTTTTGCTGGTTTTTCCCGTTTGCTAGGGTTTTTGCTTCTTCTCCTTTAAGAAGAAGAAGCGTGAACAGTACTTCCCCCCTTCAAAAAATTCAAAAGCCCCCCCATGCTTTGGTNTTTTGGTAGGGCCGTGAAATTTGCTAAATGGCCCGTCCCGGAATCTAAGTATTTTAATATATACATTTTTTGTGAAGGCTCCACAATATGTACATTTTTATTTTTTGCGAAGCTTGCCTCTTTTTTTTTTTTTATTATTATTTTTATTTTAAAAGGTNCGGGTAGTTTGAACCCGAATATTATTCTTTTGCCCGGACCCGAGAAATAGGAAACGTTGCTTAACTAGCCCTATGTAAGCAAAACAACTACTAAAAATAAGACTAATATTTAAACAACACTATATCTTTTTTTAAAATATTTTTTCAAGTTTTAAAATAGCTACAAAATATTACTAAAACTATTTTTGTAATTTTCGTTTTTATATGTAAAGATAAAATATGAAGTAATATTTTTTGTATTTTTTCAAAATTATAATGACTGCAAACATTAATAGAACTATATTTTT